TATTCGTTATTCATTAGTCAAGAATAACTGAATAATTTCACTGTTCAACAAAAATGGGCATGGAATATTCTAATTGACTACGATTGTGTGTCTTTGAATAAAAGGTTTGCCTACCGTTAAAGATTGAGACAAGATCTGAGGAAACGTTTTTCGTTCGTAATATTTGGGACAGCTGAGAAAATTCGATAGAAAAATGTGAAGTTTTCTCACCTTTCAAGATTAAGCTACGTTGCGCTGATATCCAGTGAAAACATGAAGAGACTGGATTGGTTATCGAGGTCTTCACGTCACGAGATGGAAACATCAGACTCGTAAAGTTAAAGACAGAAGAAGGTGGTGAAGTTCTACAAACAACATCGAGACTGTTTCCTCCTGAAGTTGGTGAAAGCGAGAAGAATGTTTTGGGCAATCGTATTTGAGTTTCTGGATGTAAAAGCTCAAAGTTGGGAGGATGTTGGAAATTGCAATTAAATTTATTACTCCCATCACTTAATTTCATCTCGTGAGTGCATGATCATCACGTGCTCAAGTTTAATCCCTACTCTTCCCACACACTGACTCGATGGAGAACTGATTAAAACTCCGATTGCGAAGCATGTTGTTCTTTTTTGTGTGCGTCCATGAATAATCTGTGTGTCCATATATTTGTAAATAAAATTTCATCTTGAATGTTACACTCTCAACTACAATTATTTAGATGTTTTATAGAAGTTTATGGAATATTAAGAAGTGTTCCCGGCCTTTTTGTGGAGGTAAGCTATCTCCTTTTTTGATATCTTTTGGTAATACCCAAAAAGTAATTTGATTTAAGTGATTTGGATCAGTGATTCGAATTGAGTGTTTGTTGACGCGTTAGCAGAGTAGCACAGTAGTGAGTGAAAGTGTTAACTCACATAAAGAAACTTGAAGATTTAAACATTTCTTTATTTCATACAGTACCATCTCGATACAGCGTACAACTGAAGATATTAAACATAAATACATCTTAACAAAAATGTTGGTACGTCACCGGAAAAAACAACACAGTGACGTGACATAGTGAAGAGACAAGACAAGAAGTCGACTGATCCCATGTTTACAACAATGCATGCATTATATACAGATTCCATAATTATATGCACGGATGACGTCACTTACGTTATCTGAAAAGAAAATGTCTGTTGCCACCACACGACCGAAACTTAATTCTGTTAACTTAATGTATTCAGAGGAGTAACAAACCACTCCAACAGTGTTTATAGTCCGTGGTTTGAACCAAGTTATTCTCTACAGATTCAAATCACTAATTGCAATCATGTGATTCAAATCACTATATGAATCAAGTCATTCTGAACTGTGATTGGAATTAAGGGATTCGAATCAAGTGATTCCAATCACTATTTGTCCTAGTTCGATTCAGGTGATTTTGATCAATGATTACAATATAAGCTTACCGGAAAAAAATTAGTCACCCTAGTGCGCAAGCACCGATGAATATAGTTAGGTTTCGTTAGAATACGCAGTGGTCGAGTGACGGGCTTAACTGCCTGCGCAATACCTCAATGTGATCAAAGGCAAGTAGCTATCAGTGAGATATTTTTGTTTTAAGCGGAAATTATGTGTAAATATATGGGGTAAGTGTAAGAATGTGACAGAGTGACGAAAAAGGGCAATTGTTTGGCCGTGCCCATGGTTATACGGTGAATGAAGTTGCTAGATTTGTAGGTGTTTCGATGCGGACTGTTCAAGCTGTCTACAAGCAGTGGTGTAATACACGTGGTCAACAGGAACGATGTCAGAATTGTGGTCAGAAAAAGATCCTGCATGAAAGGGACCGGGGATGTGTTTCAGGACTTGCCAATCAAAATCACTTCCGAATCCAACAGAAATTGCTTCAGTTAGTGAATGAAGGTCCATCCCAACTTGTTTATTGCGAAGGGAGCTGCATGCAATGGACATTTGGAATCGAACACCTTGTAAGAGGCCATTCCTAACACAGGCACATAAAGCTGCACAACTTCAATGGGCACCGAACGTGGACAGTGGCGGACTGGTGGAATGAAATATGGTCTAACGAATCACGTTTTTGCCTTTATTCAAATGACGCACGTCGTCGAGTGCACCGAAGATCAGGTGAAGCACTTCATCCTGACTGTGTGCAAGGTCAGGTTCAAGCTGGATGTGGGTCTGTTCATGTTTTGAAGGTGCTTTTCTCATTATGGATTGAGCCCCTTCACTGAGGTGGTCACTGGCATGAACCTACTTTTATTACTATTATTCACTTGAAAATTCTGGATGATCAGGCGTTGCCTTTCAGTCAACATCTTCATGAAGAGTATGCTGTCAATACCCCTATTTTTCGAGATGACAACAGCAAAGTTCATCGGGCTGGAAGAATGCGTGACTGGTTTTACGATTACTCAGACACTCAATTACATCTCGACTGGCCTGCAAAATAGCCTGTCTTGAATCCCATTGAAAATTTCTGGGACATGTGGGAACAACGGGTAAAACGCCGAAATCAGCATCCTCGCAATTTGATGGATTTGTGTGATCAAATCCGTTGCGAGTTGCGTAAACTGGATTCAACATACCTACAAATCGTCGTAGACTCACTTCCTAACCGAATCCAGGCGGTTATCGATTCCAGAGGTGTTACACGTTATGAAATGATATTTTTCATGATTGCTCTAAGGGTGACTAATTTTTTGTCCTGTGTGCCTAATCATGAGATGATTCAAATACAATTCAAACAAAGTGATTCGGATCAGTGATTCGTTTAATATGGTTTGAACCAATAATTCAAGTGATTTGAATTAGTGATTCGAATAAAGTGATTCAGATCACTGATTGGAATTAGAAAATTTTAATCTAGGGATTCAAATCACCATTCGAATGAAATGATTTGAAAAAGTCACTCGAATCAAGTTATTCAAATGACTAATAGAATCAAGTGATACAATGTGATTCAAAACAAGTGATTCAAGTCAAGTGATTCTGAAAAGTGTACAAATCAAATGATTCAGATCTTCATTCAAATCCAAAGATTCGGATCACTAATTTTAATGAAAGACCATAAAGACATTTTCTAATGGTCTCTCCCCACATTGGTGACCCGGACAGGGATGTTTATATAGAAGTGGGACTTTCTGTCAATTTAGGCATGCTCACATCACTTCCGAAAGTCACCAATGTGGGGAGAGACCATTAGACAATGTCAACCTTCATCTAGGAAAAGTTTCCCCACCATATAGAATCGAGTTGACATGCCTTATATACTTGTGAATTGGAATTGCATATTTGTAGTGGTAGGCGCACTACAAGCTTTTTTTAAAAAATTGCAATGCTACAAATTTTAAAAATTTAAGCAACAATTGCTTATTAGCAGTATAAGCTCTTTTAAGAAAGGCAATTGAAAGATTAAATAAAAAGTCGAGCTTTTGTTTAAATCATTGTGTTGACAATGAAATAGTTTTTTTTCTTTTATTTGAAGGCCATTGACGTATTTTTAAGGGTTTTCTTTTGCCGAAACAAAACAATTTTTCTCTATATTGCGTAATTTAAAAATTCTATGTGTAAAGAAATACATGGCGTTGAACTGTATTTTTACTCCACCTTAGGAGACAAAACATTTTGCAAGTTTCCATTTATTCATTTTTTTCGATTTGCAAAAATATTCTATTAATTATCTATTTATTTTCTAATATAAAATATTATTAATTTATTCTGTTCAGTTACTTGAGCTTTATTAGATTTTCTTAATTATTTAATAATAATAACGCCAGCCCTTTCATATATTTTTGGATCCATCAATGTTGTTTTTTTCCTTGAAACTCTTGTGTTAAATTGCTGAAATACTTAGTTTTTGTGTTAGAAAATTTCACGGAAGTATGTTTAAAAAATACAAACTCTAAAGTTTTTGAATGTGATTTAAGTATGAAAATAAAAAAAAAGTATTCTAAATATTTTTGCAGATTCATTTTGAAGAATCTCAAGTAGAAATTAAATAGAAAACATGATAACGAGGAATTAAAACGTGATGCTATTCCAACAAGTTTCTATTAGTTTATTCTATTCATTCTATTTATATAATAATAATGGCTAAAAATCTTAATTGGTTTTGTCCTTTTATTTGTTAAAAAAAAATTCAATGTCTCAATTGAAAAAACTAATTTCAAATTACTTCTTGATTTTGAAACAAAATGTATTACTTCTCATGATTTATTACTTCACATATAGATTTAGAACATTACATCATAACTTTAATTATTTTGATTATAAAAACATACTTGAAAATATTTCAGGTCAAAACATACTTTTTTTCTATTTTAATTTTGTTAAAGGAAAATCTGAAAAGATATTGAACAAACCCAGATCTAACAGAAATATAAAATTTATTTCCAAATTCGCTTTGAAATCATTTATAAAAAAGATTTATGTAATCGACATATAGCACAATTTTTTATTTAAAACTTTTAACCGGTAACAAAATTTGCAGTGAAGCACACAAAAAAAGTTTTCAAAAAACAATGTTAATCGATGCACACTTTCATTATAGTTGAGGTTAAAGTCGTTTGTAGCGATAAGTTGCCAAATCTTGTAGCTTTTCATTATTGGAGGAAAAGTTTTTGTTCCGAAATGGCTGATAAGTCGGCCTCTCTAATTGAGGGGCTCTACATTTGTCGTGATGTCGCTTATAGGCATCCAATTAAATCTGATTTAAATTACATGGTTAGGCGAAATCACTTCACTTTCTCGAGTTGCAAGTAATCAATATTTCCTCTTTGATTATATGCCATTGATTATATAGGTTATATACCATCCGCAGCACCATCTGCCAGAAAATGTTCGGACCAAAACAAGGAACTCTGGGATATAAATTTATGCTGTATCACATGAATTTGTTGTAAGAGTTATTTTATTTGTTTCTTATAATTATTTTTGTGAATTTTAATCATTATTTTAATTATAATTTAAAAAAAAACATCAATCTAATTATAGGACACTCTGTAGTTGTTGCATTAATCAAGGCAGTAAGGAAACTTGGCTGAAGTTTTCAAGTAGCATTTGGAATGAGCAGGAAGATTTGGTATTTTCTTGGAATAGAAACCCATTCTACAGACAGGTGCGCTGGAGCATTTCCCTGCGATAAAGTCTTCATAACTATCACAGATGCGTCCTAAGAATTTGCAGGTTTTGTTGAAACTGGCAATGTAGTAGTCAAAGCACGCATCGTGGCTACAATAATTCTTTTCCATCCCAGATGTCACTGAAAATAACGAAAATTTTCTTATCTAATGTGTAGAGGTGAAAATAAGATTATTATTTGTTTATTTGTAAAAATATGATTAAGCCAAAAAATATAAAAAATAATTTCATAGGTGTTTAAAAAAAATATTAAAAATGTGAAATATTTTTTTTCTTCATAAAAACTAAAACAGAAACCCAATAACGTTAATACCTGGGGAAAGTATGAGACCATCTTTTTTTGAAATTCGAAAAAATTGAGGAAAAAATAAATAAAAATTACTACTTCTGTTAAGTACTTAGAATTCACAAGCAGAAAATATAAATTTATTTATTCTAAATTGCAATTGAGTAATTTGTTTTATGAAAAAGCATAAGTTCAAACAACTGACGGATGTGAAAAAATATTTCTTTTTCAGAGTGTGGTTTAACAAAAAACAAATTGCTGTTCAAAGACTTAACACTGCTGAGCATAATTTTTTGTTGAATGTAATTGGTTACAGCATGAAAAAGAAGCAAAAATCTTCTTGTTTTCAATATCGTATTACAAGGAAGCAATTCCAATTAGTAAATAAATAACTCCATTAATTACATTCTCAGTGAAACTTTCTACACAATACGAAGCATTTTAAAGTGTGAAGTTTTCTAAATTTAATCTAAAACTGCTAAAATGGCACATTCAACAAAAACTTATGCATGCTTCATGTAATATTTTATGAAAACTTGGGCTTGATGATGGAAAAAGTTTAATACAGACGGGGCAAGTGAGTTAAGGTATTAATGGCATAATTTCAGACAAGATGCTTTCTAAATTAAAATGGAGAATTTTTTGAAAAATTTGAAAAATAATGGTTTTTCTTTTAATTTCTGTAATATTGAATTTGAAATCAGAAAGTGATTGAAAATTATTAGTTTCGTTTTTTCTTTTAATAGGGCATGATCAAGTCCTGACCTAGTTACCTCGGTTGAGCATTTCTGTAAATGATGGCAACTACATTCTTACTCTATTTCTTTTCTTTTTTCTTCCTTCTGCGCATTAAATTAGGGGGCGTTGTTTTTTCGTTTATTTCCATTTAGTTGATGCTTGGTTGTCAGTTGTGTAATTTGGTTTTGGGATTTGTTTTTAAGTAAGCTTTTGGACATTATATTCTTATCTATTAGTTTAGATTTCATATTTTTGTATTTGTTTTTTGTATTGTATTTTCTTTACCCGGACTTTGGCAAAGCCTTTGGGGTACAGAGAGTGCAACTTGGACGTTTGTCGTCCTCTTTTGATAGAAAAGGTTTTGCATTTATGATTTCCTTTGTATCCCCTGACGACCTCAGCTTTGGTTGTCATATTTTTCATTTTTTTTTCTTTCTTCATTCATTCTTTTGGTCTCAAATATGCTAATTGATTAGTGCTGACGATATTCTAAGTTTCGAAATCACACACAAAAACGTACTTTCTTTCAATAAACATGACTTTTTTTTCGTTGGATTCGGATTTCTGAGCCCTTAAATATAGGAGGTAGCTGCATCGAATCGAATTTCAAAAAAGCCTGATACATAATATTTCATTTCTCAGGAACTATTTGTCCCGCAGTGGACTGATCGTTAAGACACGGTTCCTAGCAGATCACCTAAGTCATGCATCACTGGCTGTGGTCAGTGTGCGGGTGGGTGACCACTTGGATCAGTCTGCGTAGGGACCGAGGTTGCGCGGTATTGGTCCTCGTTAAACTGTTCTACTGTAAAGTGCTCGACTTCGCGTGCAGGTCGTCGGGATACCGAAAAGGGGGTGCCACCCCCTCTGCAGAGGATCAAAATTGTGATGGCATGTCTTCGGATCATCCTCAGGGATGTTTCCCAACCCGTCGCCAATAGCCCATTGTGCAGCTCTAGTGCGACGTAAATGAGCAACAACAACAACTCAGGAACTATTCGCCTTATTTTGCTCAAATTTTGTATTTGTTATATAAAATTACATTCTTAAAAATGAGACAAAAAATTGCATAACTTACAATTCAGAATTTTTTTGACCATTTCTGAATAAAATAATAAAAAATAATAAATATTTACTTGAAGTTATTTTTGCATGGAAAACAATTTTCGATTCAAACAATTATAAACAATTTTCGTGTAAAAAATGTTCAATTCACTTTAAATATTCTAGAGATATAGCGAAATACGCAAAAAGTAAAATTAATATTAAGGGGTCCGAACTTTGAAACCCTCTCCTGACCAAGCTACCCCTCTATATTTTGATTGTCAAAAAACCAAATACGTTGGAAAGAAAAGACATGCTTATTCAGAGAAAGTAAGTTTTTGTGTCGGAATTGGTAATTTAAAATATCGTCTGCACTTAGTAATTAGCATATTTGAGGTCACCCCCTCAAACCATTAAGAATGAATACTAGAACGCGAAGATCCAATCATTAGAACAAAAGTTATTTAGGGGGGGGGGAGGGTTTCCTTTTGTTCTTTTTTTTTTTCTTTGGTGAACTGTACGTCATATACTTGTCAGTATGAAACCGGGTGAATAATATAGGCTAACCGTGTACTTAAATGTCTTACCCGTATCAATTTCTCCATTCTCAGTTCTATATTTTGCTCCAGGTACACATTTTGACTGAGACGGACCTCCATTTGGATAATAATCAATATCTGCAAAAGGCGGTCGTAATCCATATCCTGAAAAACCAATGAAAACAATGCGACGTAACAAAATATTAAACAAAAGGAATAAATTAAGAAATGCTCTTATGTTTAATTCTGAGCCACAGTGGCTCTGGTGATAGAGCGTTCACCTCCCAAGGAAGTCACCAAGTTCGAATCCCTGCGTTGGCTGGTGGATACGAATTCTGTTCCCAGCTCGCAAGAACCACTGTTCTGACATAAAATGTCTTCAGTGGTAGGGGAATCATGGATCAAAATCCCCTTACCGTCGAGCTGACAATAAAAGGTTTTCGTGGCTTACTTCTCCATGCAACGCAAATGCGATTTAGTTCCCCCAGAAAGTTCTCCACAAAGACTAGCTTGTCCCAGATTATGACCCAGAAGTTTCCTGGTCTCCTGGGTTGGGTTTAAAATTACGGGAGCAACGGAGTTAGCATATATAGTTGCAAACTCAGAATTGCGTCAGTTTTTCTACATCATTAATGAAATAAAAGAAACAAAATATTTTTGATTTCAAACAATTAAACGAAATGAGTGCTTGCGGTATTTTATTTCAACAATTCAACTTTTTACGAAAAAACCTACAAAATAAGCATTGGTATTGGATTACAGTGGTAACTCTCACATTTGTTAATATATTTGATAAGATTTTATTATTTTTTGAGTTATGCGTAAAGTCACTTGGATAGCAAATGTTGTTTTGCAAAAAACTAGTTTGATCTAGTTTGACTAGTTTGGTGGTGATCAACTCTTGTAAGTATCTGAATATTGGAATTAAAACAGACAGAAAGATATTTGAATGAACACAAATTGTTGAATTACGTATAATTATAGTGCTTTGGAAAAAAAAACGCATCTTATAATCATAGACGCATTTTTAAATACATTATTTTTATAAAATAATAAATAAATTTTAAGTAATTGTTCCCTTAAAATAAGTGATAGTCTATTAAATACTAATAATCGTAGGGAAACAATCAGTAAAATGTTTGATTGATTTTTTATAAATGAAAGAAAAAAATTATTTTTATTTAATTAATAAAAAAACTAAAATTTACCTTTCGATGCTATATAAATATTTCTTAAATAAGAAAAATAACATCTTTATATGTGAAAAGTAATTGAGGGGAAGGGTTGTAAAGTTGGAAATTTAGTTACTTAACAACCTCATAAAATAGTTTATACGAATAGTAATACCTTTATCTGTAATAGTTCCATCAGTGTGAATTGAGTCAACAAAATAAGCGTCGGTATTCATTGGTTGCAGGAGTATTAATAGTGATTTATACAATGGCCCAGCAGCATCCAGATCTGTCAACAAAAAAAAAAACAAAAAAGCCTTATAAATGAAAAAGAAAAGTTTAACACTGTAGATGATTTTGCTATCAAGATTTATAACACCAGATGGCGCTGAGCGCAAACAATGTATTATTATTTTTTCTGCACTTCCTAAGTTTCAATTTACTTTTACCACTGAACCACGATGGAATAAAATCAACTTAATCATTACAATTTGTGTAAATTATTGTTGAATTTGAGTTATGGTGAACTGGCCGAAAAATAGGCCACCTGCATGAAATGTAAGTTAACATTTGTTTTGGTCGCCGAAAAGTCGGTAATTTATTTTGATATTTCATGTATTGTATTTAATATACATGCATTTGTAATTTATTATAGTAACGGTCGAGCTGTTTACTTTTACAATGGATGATTTTGAAAAATTAAAGTCCAAATGAGCTGTAATCAGACAGCTGATTACAAAATTAATAAATAAAATTGACAAATTGTTATCAGAAATACTTCCTGATGATACTTTGTATGATTCACTAAATCAGTTAATTGAGAAAAAAAAACGAAACTTTAAAGGATCTAGATTTGAAAATTGAAAATTATTTTGATAAGAGCGAGGAATTAGAGAGTGAAATTATACAAAGTCAAGAGTATCAAGATCGAGTAGTGGCTTCTAAAGGCAAAATTGAAAGATATTTACTGAAATGCCAGACTACAAGACAGGAAGTAACGGCTAGTGGTAACAATAATTTACAAGAAAATTTAACTTATGGAAATATCTCGCACGTTGCTAACGTTTATTATAATCTTCCCCTTAACGTCCGGCAGGTGGCGCAGCGCCGCAACTGTTGTGTCTGTTTTGTTTTTGCAAATGTAAGAGAGCGTAGAGGTGCGCGCTAATGAGCCTGTGCAATTATGATATCTGTAAATATTTTTGTAAATAAATAATTAATATAATCAAACTCTTACTTCCTCCCCCCCAAACGAGCTACTCGACACATGAACAAATGAAATGGGATTACAACAAAAATCAGAAGAGGGATGTAAACCCCGTGAAAGAACCTAACGTAAACTCAAGGTATGTCTTTCTTGATTTTAAAATTATGCATGAGTCGAGTATTATGAATTGAAGAAAGTATTACGAATTTTAAGAAAGCAAAAAGTATTTTATGGAAGTAAAACGTATTTTAAGAAAGTAAAAAGTATTTTAAGAAAGTTTAACGTATTTCTATGAGTATCAAAATGTCTTTTCTGGGAAAAGGCAGAAAAAATGATTTGATTGAACTGGCTAACGAAATAGGTGAAACTGTACCACCTAATGCAGTGGTAATAGAAATTAAGAATATTATCACAAAAAGTAAAAATTATGAGGAAACATTCGTTAAACAAATTTTAGAACGGATAATTGAAGAAAGAATCCAACGCGAAGAAAATGAAAGTAAAGAAAAAT